AAATAATATAAAAATGAACTGTATTATAATACGCAAAAAGATAAGCATTTTCAATAGCAGAATAATTATAAAAATTAATCATGAAACTTCATTGTGCACGCAAAATAAACTTAAATTACTAGGTTACCATATTACATATTAGTAAAGGAAAAAAAAACATTTTCTGATAGTAACTAAAGACTTTTACAATAAAAAACTTTAATATTGTATAATATTACATTGTAATTCAATTCAAGTTCAAAATTATAGATGGACGAATAAGTTATAAATTGTATAAATTGTGAGACAGTATGTCCTACTCATTTATTAATTACATTTCAATTCAATTATTATTTTAGGAAAACCAAATAAACTTGTAATTTTAATCATTTAAAATTGAAAGATTAATTGCAGTTTTATAGCTGTAAGCATTTTGTTTTAATTCAAAAACAGTCATAACGAGTATTATACGCAACTTATCTAATACAATTATAACTTGATCATAAAGGGGAAAATCAAAAACTCATTCGTACCAAAGTTGAGAGATTCACTGGCCAAGTGATAGATGATAATCACCGAAGTCTTATAGCAATATAAAATATAATACCAAATAAATGCCTTGTTTATAATGCATAAATGATTACGTACAAATTTTCCGCCGAGATATATTTCATAAAAAAGCAATACATATTTAACAGTAAAAAATCTACATAGTGTACATTCCGCAAAGTTTACAATTAAACGATTCCAATAAGTTTCAAGCATAATTATTAATCACACGCACTATATTCGTAATATTGTAGAAAAATAACAGCAGTTAACGATACATACACATACATATAACAATGATGCTGCACACGATCTGCAATAGTGGATTACGGTTATAAATGTCTTTACACGTATCGTGTGTACATTGTTATAAAAGTGTATTATGAATATTGGTGTAGTTTCATGGGAAAATATTAGAGCGCTCTTTCGGCGGTATCATACGAGCCTGTGAAGAAACAAATATTAATTATTATTATTATTATAATTATTGTAAGACCGTACACCGGTGGTTGAGAGCACGTAGCGCGCCCGATTTTCAGATACCGGCAATAAAATTAATTTACTCGAAATGCCATACGTAGCGTATAATATGATAACTAATCCCCGGTATTTATTCCGATTAACAAAACGGATACCTACAATAAATTATGCGTGTCGAACGATTGCGTATGCTCGTAATACGCAAGATCATGAAAAAACGATAACGTGTACCAATAAATTATGTTGATTCTTAGCCGTTTATTATACACATGCATAGTAATATCACTGCACATCGCACTTGATCATCATAAAGAACTTTGAAAAAATTATAACGAATATGTTCGTACGTGCGCTTGGATCCCTGATGTCGGAATACGATTACTATTTAATATATTTATGTAATAATATCGATCGGGAAAAAAACTGTTCGTCTCTTCCGCGTAGACGACATATAAAATTATATTAATCTGTACACACAAATTATTGTTGAAGTTTAGTAGAAGCAAAACTATTATAATTTCATCGTGTTTTTTTCCCCAGGTAAAATAATAACAAAACCAATGAAAGAGTTTTAAAATATACGTACTGTTACTATCAGCTATCGATATTTTTCATATTACATACAATACATAACAAGACGTATACAGAGAAAATATAAGTATTTGTGTTGCGATATCTATGCTTATGGATCCGATCGAATTATTCTCAAACACTGATCGACTGAAAATACAATAGTTTATTTTGGAACCTATTCGACTATTTGAATGCCTTCGATATATTTTTAACAAACACGCACACACGCAAAAGAGCCAATATAGATCCCTAAACACTGATATAATCAAAATACGTTCAAATGCACGTTATTGCACACGAGTACACGGTTCATTGTGTAAAAACTCAAATTGACAAATTCTTTTTTTTTTTTTTTTATGAATAATAAGCAACGCTGTTTAAAATTATAACTAAATGAAAATGAAAATATCCTTTTAGTTTCTATAACTCTTAATAACAAAGAGTTAAATTTTTTCAAGAGGTCAAATGTTTTTCGTGATGTAAACGAAAACAAATATTTTCGTCATCAAAGCATGTACAATAAAGATTTCTGGTAATCAACCAGCGACCACGTTACGATTTAATCACGCAAGATGTCCATTTGGGGAAATTAATATTTTTTCATTAATAATCTCAGCTGACAAATGAATCTTCAGTATAATAAGTATTACAACTATATATTTAATTGAAAATCGTTTGTGACGAAAAACAGTTATGCGTATATTTTTTTTTTTTTTTTTTTTTTTTATCAAATTATATTTTTAATAACTGTGCTTTGCATGATAGTGTTAAGATTTGATTTTGGTGTAATGAAAATTAATACTTATTTCTTTTTGCCTGTTGTTTCTATCTGTGTTATGTAAATATTAAATATAATTGGTAAAATTATAATCTAGATGACGATAAAATATACATATCAATAAAGTTATCTAGATAAAAATAAAAATCGACATTTATTATTCATATAAAAAAAGATAATTTAAATACCTATCGCAAAACTGTGCACCAATTTTATTAGTTAATATGTAACACATAAATTTCAAAAAAGTTGTGATTTATGTAACTTTATTAGTCAAATAAATGTTATTTCTAAATAAAATGTCAACAATATTATGATTTATATTATTAAAAATGTAGTATCAAACAACATATTATTTATTTATACATTGATATTTTACGTATTGAACAAAATTTAACTAAATTAAGTTAAATAAACAAATAAATTTATTTTTAATTTTTTTTTTTATATTAATTAATAATAATTATGGTATTTGAAATTCTCATAAAAATATCAAGTAACTAATATTATTTACATAAAAATTAATAAATAAACATTTTACTGAAAAATTATAACATTCTTTTTTATTCCCGTTTTCCCTTAATTTTTTTTTTTTCGTTGTTCTTGACGCTTTTGAAAAATACATTTTAGAATTTTTTTTACTTTAACTCTCCCCCTTAGTATCAACCAGTTGTAATTTTCTATCAATAACTACCTCTTTTATTGAAAATCTAACCACTTTTACTGTTAAAAAAAGTGATAATAAACACAAAATATAGTGTTTCTGAATTGTATATGTATACTACTGTGATGGCTCAAAGAAAATTTCTTTGTAATTTTTTTTCTTTAACATTTTTGTTTATTCAAATTATTTTTAGAATGATATTTAAAATATAAAAATAAACATTCTGGTTGTATTTTTTTGCAAAATTCTCATACGAAACGAGATGCCATATCGTTTTTGCAATTATCACGCTATAAATCAAGTTTTGAAGAAAGAAAAAGAATTCCAAAAAATTCTTCATTCGGTCATCACATTGAAACACTTATACTAGTAATCTTATCTATTTTTTAAAATCACTGTAAATATATTTAAAATAAAACATTCAGTGTACAATCGATATGTTCCTCACTCTGTTTTGAATTTAAAAAAATATTATAAGTTATATTTTATCTAAATGATTTCAAAATATAATTTAGATAACTGCTCATTTGCTTTTTTCCAATTTATATAAATAAAATACAAGATAAAAATGTATCTATTTATATAATTTATGTGAATAAAACACAACACTGGTTACCTCGTGAGTACACTAAGAGGGATGAACAAATATCTGACGTACGATAACATTATATGAACGTAAAATGGGATATATGTTGTCTAAAAGTTTCATTTAATCATCATGCATTTATGGTTCAAACTTGTACCTTTAATGTCTGAAGTTTAGGAATGCATTCTACTACGAGTATTAGTTTGATATTCGTATTAATTTATACCATATTCGTGGGAGTTGAAAATAATGAGATTATAATATTATATTATTATATTATACATCGTTCGTTCTCCATTGTTAAATCCTATGTTTCAATTTTCTTTTAAAACAATATTTCAATATTATTAATTTTAAAATTCAAAATTATTGCTAAAACACAATTTACAGTTTTGATTTATATAGGTATTATTCTTTTGCTGAGCTAATATAATATTTTTCTAAATCATCAATCACAATGTGGTTGATCGGCCGTGTCAACCGTAGTGTTTGCTCAGAAAAATTATTTAATTATATTGCAATGTATAACTAATTATCTCTAATTCTGTTTTTTAATCTATTATCGTTTATATTTATTGTGGTCATTTTACAGGTACAATATAATTTGATTTATCTTTTCGTCCTACTAAGCTATATTTCATTCGTGATAAAATTATGATTGATAAAATAAAATATTCAAATTTTTTAATTTAATATTCTCCAACACTAACCCGTTAAATTATTTGCATGGTAATATAGTGTACATCCTATATAGAATAAAACGATACGTTCTTTCATTGATTGAAATTAACGAATAATTTGAACAATATTATTAAAAATTAGAGTTTAGACGTATGTGTAAAGGACCGGATTTCCGGCAGGACTATTACAATACTATCTATAGGTTTTATACAGCACCAATGTCCTTGCGGTTCTCCATACACAAGTAAATGGATTTATTTTATTTTTCAACAGTAACTATCTAATACTAATAATATATGAATTAGAGCGACTAAAAAAAAAGATTAAACCAATACACTTTAAAGGACCATTGATCTATAAATTTTCGACATACTTAAACATTGTAAGTCGTTTGTTCTCTGTTAGCTTAGTGACACCGAATAAATAAACCACAATGGCTCTTCGTATAAAAATTATAGATGACGAAAAAAAAAAAATTAAAGATGAAAATAAATACAAAGAAGGAATAAATACAATTTAAAATTATTCGGAACGAGTTATTTTGATGATAATTGAATTTATTCTCTCATTTCCATAAATTTTATGCGGGCGTTTCAATTGTTGTGTCATCTCGTTTCAAGTGTGTAAAAATTGTTTTTCCCGCTAACGAACTCCTTTCACTCGATTCAAAAAATAAATTCAAACATTACAATGACTGCTATACTACTCACTTCAGCTGCGATATATGCTGGTATGACACTCAGTAATAGTTGCTCCTGTTGTTCTTTTTCACACTCCAGTTTGATCCTGGATTCGATACATGTTCTGGTGCCCGAAAACATTATCCTGTTGGCTTTGTGGGTCATAAACTTGTAATACCAACCGGTAGAACTGGCCGCCAGCAAAAGTAACACTTCAGCGATCATCTGTGTAAAATTAAATTTTAAAAAGTTTTCATCATGATTTATTCATGATATTATTTATGATTGATCATTACTAATTAATACTACATCTAAAAAAAAATTAATATCATAATTAATGTAGTTTTTTTATGTCTTAATTAAAAATTATTTACTTCAAATAAAAGCAATTTTATATTTTCATTTGGATCTCTAAAAGAAATGTGGAAAAACCTATACTGTTATTAAATAAATCATTTTCATACATTTACAAAATTATGTAACTTAGCTATATTTTGGTAATGGCTTACATCAGCGGTTCCCAACCCATGGGCCGCGAGCAGATGGTACTGGGCCGTGAACCATTTTATATTAACATTACTTACATATATGTATTATTAAAATATTAAATATCAGCAAGTGAAGAAGATTCGTTGATTGAACTTTCATGTGATCAGATTCTAAAATCATTTTTTAAACTACAACATTATTACCATTCTAGTTAAATATTCGGCAGGACTTTCCAGAAATTTCTAAAATTTCACTTAGAAACTTGATGGGCTATATTTTGACAACCTGTGTGTCCATGTAAACGAGATTTTTCTACTTTAATTTTTGTAAAAAATAAATGTAGGAATAAATTGAACTTTGAGTGATTTAAGGCTAAAAATTTTCATTTTTAATCCAGATATTGATTCTCTTGTGGGTGACAATCCAAAATTACAATAAATTGTTTAACTCTTGAATAATCAGGTAAATCAATTTGGTAAAAATATTATTTTTTAATATTATAAACACTTCATAACAAGTTTTATATAAAAAATAGACTTTTTTTAGTTTTGCTTTTCTCTTTTTTTACTTTTAAGATACGAGATATTCGTAAAAATTATTTAAAATATGACTTACTTAGGTAACATGAAATGTGCTATTTATTCGGAATAATATTTTTATTTTTTCGTTTTTATTACAGAAGGGAATTAAATTAAATGTCAATAACAAAAGAGTAACCGTCATGGACAATTTTTATTTATAACTAAACACAAAAATCTGTTGGGACCTATAAATTACATTAACAATAGTGTATGTTATAATATCCATTGTCTTCTTTTAGAATAACCAATATTCCTTTAACTCGGGCGTTTTTTTTTTTTTAAATATACAGTACGCTGTGCATGGTGTGACATATTTTGATAATAAATAGAATGACGAGATGATTTTTTTTGAGCCTATGTGTGTGGTATTTAATAATAATTTTTTTATTATCTTACCCGTTTTGCAGTGTTCAGTTTAAAGCTGGTACCCAAAGGGTTTGTTTTCAAAACAAATGCACAGAAAAAACAGTTTTTCAACAAAAATGGTTTTGAAATAGCACGTGAAAACTTGAAAATAGTGCGAGAAAATCCTCGTTATCGTTATTCTAATAAACCAGAATATTTCAGTACATTGTATTGTATTTAATCTAAAGCACACAAGGTTTCTCTTAATATATATATATATATACATACACACATATATATAGTAGCTGTAGTTAAGTTTTACGAGGCTTGCCGAAGGGCAAATACGAAAAATGTCAATGAAAATATAAATATTACCAAAGGACAAAGAAAAAGCGAAACATGCATATTTTAAAATATCCAACACTGTAAGTACAAATAAAAGAAAGATAGCTGTTCAAATTGGGGCAAACAATTCTTGAAGTCAGGTACATCTGTATATGCTATTAATCAAAATTAAATTTTCTATTAGGTTGGTAATAGTCGACGAGAACTTATATATATATATACATTTATATACAATTAGTTAATTATTTATTCTACGTCGTTGTCATTAAAAAATCGAATGCAACGTGTAACGAACATCAGTATTTAATTATTGAATTGTAAACACGGCTACAACTCATCGACAAATAATAGTTCAAATTATAAAATTGTAAAATAAAAAAAAAATAGCGTAGTATACTGAATTAAAATTTGACTGGCACAAGAATGAAGTGGAATGATTTTATGTTGTAATTTTAAAATGAACGATATTCCTTTTGCTTGAATCTAGCCAAATGTTTACATGTCAATCAATATTAATAAAATAAATTGCAATATGAACTATAACTTAACAAATATAATATTTAATTGAATCATTAGACAATAATTTATCATGATTTACTAATATCAATCTAATATGAGTTATTTAATATAAATATGGATAATAGACGGAATACTTTGTAAACAAAATTAAGATATATTAATATCTTAATTTTAATAATTGCAATATGATGATTGGTTGAATCAGTTTTTGTGGTATAATAAATCATGGAAAGGATCATATAAAAAATGGGAGAATTGTAATATTATTAAAATTACTTATAATTACGAAATTGTGATAAAATTGCAATTGACAGGTAATATTATACATCAGCTAATCAATTACTAAAGAATTTTTCATTTATACTTTTACTGCTGTTGTAAATCACGCTAAATAATTTAAAAATGAATATAAAACCAAAAAATAATAATAATTACTTACCACGGTTATATTTTTTTCTGTTGTTTATACTACTATATCGATGTGTATATTGTGTACCTACATATTATGTTGCTGCTGATATTATATTGTTTTCACGACCGAATGACCTTCTTTGTCATTTATAAAATATTTTGCGAGAAAATTAATTTTTTGTAATTTAAATATAGAACTAACTTGTATAAAATTATATTTTTTCAAATCATGACACTGAACAAGACGTTATATAAAAATAGTTTTGTACGTGAATAGTGTTTAGAGCACGATTACATTTATTTTAAAATTATTGAGTTATAACTTATTTTAATTATATTTTTTAAAAAGCATAATTATGCCATACTTAAATATATAATAACAATAAAGTTAATTTTAACATGATGTTGGATGAAGATACTTTTTTTACACCAATTGTAAAAAAAATATTCTCATCCTGATAGGCTTATGAGAATGATTTGTTATCAACGAGAATTTAATATTAATAGTTTTTACTCTTTTTTTTTTCTAGTCAAAAGTGAAATTACATCATTTACATATTATACATTTTACAAATATCTGCAGAATCAAATACTGGCGATAAAAAAAAAAGTAAAAACACAATAATATGATTATATTCACGTCATTGACAATTATATTAAAACCCGTGGTTATATGTAGCTTACAATGTGTTTTATATACATAAATATTATAAATTGAATAGAATATAGTATCGGCACTCTGGTACCTACTATTATAATATATTTAATGCGATGTTAAATGGTTATACTTATCCAATTTTATAACTTATTATAGGTACTCAAAAAATATTGAAATCTTTATTAAGGAATATGTTTTATCTTCAAACCGATATTAAACATATAATTAATTTCAAATGTTGATTAAATATTTTCGAATTTAAATATTCTTTATTGAATATTTAATAAGCTTTTATTAAATATACCTATGCTGTGTGGGATATAACAGATCCTAGAAATTGTGTGTACGATAACTGATGAATCAATCGACTAACAATTCTTCTCTGTAAAATTATATTGGCATTATAAAAATAAAATATTTTATCAAAATTAATTTATAAAATAATGGACTCAAAGAATACATTAGGTTTTTTTATGGACTCAGAACATACATAGAGGTTTTGGAAAAAATCATGAGCGTGGTAACGAAAAAAAATTTACCCTATGTGTCTATCGGTCAAATATTTTGAATCTCCTTGTAAAAAATGGACTCAGAACATACAAGTACAAATTACTATCATGGATCCATAGAAAGGTATCTATAATAAATATCTCGGGATCCACAAATATTCCAACAACGTTATCGAAATCTAATAATTCAATATAATATTATCGAATGAATTGTTACAACAAGAATCTAATATTAGCACATTAAAAACGTTTTCGATATTAGATACGCTAAAAGTAAGAAATAATTGTTTTAGTTAAAATAATCTTTTATTTTTTGGTTGGATATTAAATACCTAATATTTTAAAATTGTCTAGTAGAACATTTTTGATGAAAGGATGAACTCTGGCCAATCGATTATAATTCACACAACGGTAAAATTGTATTTTAATTACGTCAGGCTCGTATATTATTTCTTATTCGTGTGTCGGAATTCTTTTTTTGTTAGGTCAACACTTATAAGGCAATTTGACATGACTGAAATATCTATCATATCAAAATGAATGCTATAACTATTTTTATGTTTCTTATTTCTACTACTCAAATCTTATGTTACTAGAATCCTTGGTTTATAAATAATCATGTAAAATATTCAAGTTTTTATTTTCAGAATGAATTTTCCGTGATAAAATCATTGATATCCTGTTTATGTATTAATTTGCTCTCAAATGAAAAATGTTGAGATAAGTTAAGATAGACGATCAGACTGCGTCCTTTCAAAGGCAATTGTTGAATCTATACCAAGATCTGCTACACTTGGGAATGATTGAAAGCAAAATTCATTCTAGAGCAATTTACACGTAAATATAATAATAATAATTTATTGATATTAGTTAACATTATTATCAAAGACATTAAGTTCAGTATGTGTAGACACTTAATCTATTTTTTAACATTTATATTATTATAATTACATTCTGCATTTTAATGAACGTATTGAGGTTTTAATTAAATGTATTTATTATATTCAATAAATGTAGATAAACATATTCTTATTAAAATTATAAAATTTGATTTTTTTTTTTTCGAGCACATAAAATATATCCGTTGTATAATTTTAGATTTATTGGCAAGTTATACATGAAGAATATGTTACCGTCCCGAATTATATATGAGACTATTTAAACTAATCGGACGAGTACGTAGAAAACGTGTGCTATTTATTAATAATCGTTGGCGAGAAATTGGAACAAGTAATAGTATATTGAAATTTCATGACTATCGAAATCGACCGTCATAACGGTCGTAGTTTTATCAATTAGTCGTCTAGTCTCAACGAAATTACGGAGAAACTCAAACTACCGTTTACTTCAGCGGTGGTTCCCAACGTGTGGTACACGTATCACAAATGGTACACGGAAAGCTCCTCGTTCGTTGGCGGCATCGGCGCAGCACCAAACGTGCGCAGGAACGTGGACGGTTGGCCGGTGGAAGCGTACCTTGAAGATTGCAACATCGAGGATGTCAGCATACCTGGATATAAATGACGACGGGTTCGTCTCCGACTGTTCGATGGACACCAGCAGTGGTATTTAGGTGGTATGTGGTAACGCTTTTTTTTTAATTTTTATAATTATTATTATTATTAAGATTATTACTACTATTCGACATTATTTGGTTTAATCGATATAAAACAATTTTATGAACATCATCGACATAGGAATAGAATGAAATCCTGAAGTTTCTTTCAACAGCTCAGTAATCCCCCACTCAAGGGAAGCTAAATACCTTGATCTCCTACTCGAAAGGAGACTTACCTGGGGCCCCTATCTCAAAAGCAAAAGAAAACAACTTAACTCCCGCCTACACCTAATCAGACCTCTCCTCAAATCCAATATGAACTTATCCAACCGTCTACTTTTATACAAAAGTCTCCTACAACCAATATGGTCTTACGGTATAGCTCTCTGGAACATTGCCAAACCCTCAAACCTCAGGACAATTCAAGCGTTTCAATCCATCTGCCTCCACATAGTCACTAAAGCCCCATGGTACGTCACAAATGCCGCTCTACACGAAGACCTCAATGTCCCATCCATCAACCAGACTGTAGCCAATTTCTATTTAAGACTCCACTTTAAAATGCAAAGCCACCCAAACCAACTTATATCTCAACTTCACTCTAATACACTTCCAGGTAACCTTACCCGACGCCTTAATCGGAAATTGTCTAGAGATCTTCTCAACACCCAAAATTAATTTAAGATTCATGTAAAGGTAGCTCTACTGTGAGATTCCCTTTTCACCGTCCCATCACTATCATTCCTCCATCAAATTTACTCATTGTACATATAATAGTATAGAGTGTAAATATTCAATAAACGATATTTTATTTAAAAAAAAAAAAAAGGAATAGAATGAACGTAGAAGACAACTCAAGAATTAAAGTTATCATATGTGTTACTTTGTTACTTTTTGTTACTTTGTTATTTTGGTATTGTACATAATACTTTTTGAATATCATTTTACGAGAAAATTTTAGAGTGCGAAGTATAATTAGATATGATAGAGATAGTATACGCCCATAAGGATGTCTTGATTTCAAAATTATAATAATAGAAAAAAATACGTAGTGGAAATATATTTTTTCATTAATCACTCAGTTAACGGTAACTCACTTTTATTTGAAAAATAAGGAATTTATAAGTATTTGCATTTGTTTTTTATTTGTATTTGCATTAATGTAATCGAAAAATCATTATGAACAATGAAATAAGGTTAGGAGAGTACAAGTATACTATATAAAACAATATAAAACATATATTCGAATTAAATTATTGGTAAAACGAGTTTTAATTAATTATGAAACATGTTCTGTGTAAGATATGTGTAATATAAGCAGAATACTTCAAACAATGACACCGTTAGTTAAACAAATAATATATACAATACAGGTGTGAAATTAATAATGATAAATCATAATTATTTATTTCAAATAAAAAGTTACAAAACACTGCAACATTTATGGGATAATAACGGTTATTGGCAAAATCGAAAATAATTTTTTTCATGGTAATAAAGAAAAAATAACTGTAGAAATGTAAAATATTCATTGAATGCCAATATCAACGTATTCTAGGGATAGTTATTATTTTCAAAATAATTTAAGCTTTTTGTGTTATATGAAGGTATTTGAAATTTTCATGTTTTATTAATTTTTTTTTCTTTTGTAAAACGTCGATAAAATAGTTGGAAAAAAAATTTAACACAAAATTCCTCATTATATATTTTTCTTCGAAAATTATCAGTCACTATTTTTGAAATTTTGGCCTATTAAAATGTAAAATACAATGTTTATTTGCATCATTTTGATAATTTTGTAATTTTTAATGCATATTTAATTACTTTTCTAATGTTTCTTAATGCGCATATCATACATTTTTTTAGAGCTACACGATTATAGCAATAAGTTAAACATTTTCACTAGTTTTTCATTTTAATTTTGATTAATTTCCTTCTCTTATTGCAGATTTTATGACTGATAAACAATAAATAATTCAACTGATAAGACTCCAACTTTTACCAAGTTATATTTCAATGGCAAACTGGACCAAATATTTTGATTTTTAGTAATGTATAATTAAAAACTATTCTAATAATCATGTGTATCATGTTTTAATGTTTATAATATATTATTATTTTAAACATGTTCAAATTGTTTTTCTGGCCAAATAAGTATATTATTATTATAAAATTCTATCAGGCTAACAATTTTACTTGATCGAATTTTGTTTTAAGAACAGCAATGAAATTATCGAAAGTAGAATGACTTTCAACTTCTTTTTTTTTCAAACTCACCCCAGGGTTAAATATATATAAATCAAAACTAAAAAAATCTTGTAATATTATAATTAATATGACAATATATAATTTAAAATCGCTTTTCTAGTAGCCAATGAGACCCGGTGTAGTCGCTCTTTCAGCACACCTCTACGAGTTGCACATAAAATTATCACTGCGCTTATATCATTACGATGCAAACGTGTACTTAACATAATAAACATAATGATATAACAGATCCTACGCACCTGTTTGACGTGCTGCACACTCGGTTCCCATTGGATCTCGACGAGCAGCGACGTGACGTGCACGGCCACCGTGGCCGCGGTGGCGAAACACGATACGGCTACGTGGGTGGGCACCATCGAATGCGTGGCCACCAGCACCGGAAACAGTGAGTAGATGGCGTGCGCGTTACCGCAGCCGTACAGGACAGCGGCCGCGGATGCAGCCACCGTGGCTGCGGACAGCACGGCCGCGGCCGGCTTGGAGTTCAGCACCGCGGGAGCAGTCTGCGTTAGCGCATACGCGCAGGCGAAAATCAGCCACGCGACGCCCACCGACACCAACGGCGATCTTTCGGCGGATTTGGCCTATGGGAAAACATTGAAAAAAAAAATGTAAACAAATTAGAAGATACAACCCGTTTAAGATACTCGTGCCAAACATCTAACACTGTTGTGCACTGCTTTCAGTGGTGATTATTTGTAAATATTTAAAAGCAAAATGAACGATGATCGGAGTGTCAAATGTTAATCAAACCTTTGATTGATTATTATTATTCGCAATAGTATTACAATTATTTTTCTGATAGTCACGCTTTAAAATTTGAAAGTTAACAAGTTGGCATACCTATAGTGAATTATCCTACATAATTTGTTAGGTGCGCTTTTCAAGTCGTTCAAATAACTTATTTCATTCGAAATAAATATAAACATTAATTTGAATGACATTGTATGGTATTTTATTTGAATATGTATAATCTTGAACAATAATGAAAAAAAAATCAAAATCAAATGGTAACGTCGATGTTCAATTCCAAAACCAAACGAATGAAACACTTACGCAGATTAATTATCATAGGAATATTAGATTTCAGAAATTGTTGTCAAAAAATGGGTTATTCTCTGTCATACACTCAAGATCTTAAATGGTAAGAAGTCTTATCATGTGTTATATAATAATTAATGTGGCTGCGACCTAATACAATGAAAGAATTCGAAAAACAATTTTGATTCCCTCTCTACATCGTTCTGACTCTGAGGCGATTATTTTTTCTTGTTGATCATAAAAATGTTATTAAAAATAAAATTAATACACTTGACTCTCCGCTTGACTTTTTGTTTATCATTATAAAGACATTAAAGTGTAGATGGAAATATATAAATATTAAATTTTCACAAAACATTAAAACTAAGGTATCAAAAAAACAATTTTACAAATATTTTCGGAACGTCGGAATTACTACGAACATTAATTAAACGAAATTAGTCAAACATAAATCTACTTATTTTCTATTCAGTCAGTTAGACTCCACGTAAAATACAACCGAGTGCACAGCTATACCGTTTAGAAAAATTCGGTGTGCCCGGCAATTACTCGATAGCCGAGTACTCGATACTTAAGACCCAGCCTTTAAACGGTACCCGTCGTAAATCTAAATTTTTGCCCGGCCTTATTCGGTACCGGCTTGATACATACATTTTTACCTCGACCAGTTTTAAGTACCCGGTTTAAAACATCTAACCGGAACGTTTCTGAAATACCTTAATTATCTAACCCATTAAATATAATTCATAATTAAAAAAATACACTAATTAACAACAAATTACATCGTTTTTGATAAACATATATAAAGCTATCTGCTAAAAGTATGTTATACAACCAAAAAATTGATTTCGAATATGGTGTTCATACATTTTTACAAACGTAAATCGATTTTTATTACCATCAATGAATGTGTTTATCCAGGCATGATTTTGTATGAGCACTTCCTTCGTGATTTCAGTTAAAAAAAATAATTATCAATTTGGCAATTACCCACGCATTATATTATGAAAGCTGATGCTTATTCTCCTATCGAAAATCAGATTTTCTGCCAATAAATAAATAAAAATGTAGTGATTCCCGAATTGTAAATTCGGGATTCTACTAAACTTTTTAACAGTTACATCTAAAAAAGCATTATAGTCAATCACACGGTTCAAGAGCAAATACGCGTTCTCGGTAGATTACACTACAATACAACGAAATGAATTCTATCGAAAACCATCAAGAGCTTCAACTGTGCATACAAATGATTCCATTAACAAATTTAAATATAAACTATCAACTCCGCTTTTATATATTATCGCATTTTCGATTGCGTGGACAGTGTGTACATTAAAACGTATATGACGTGTTGATGTTTATTACTATAACATTAAAAATCGGTGGCCAGCGAGTTGTTTCCTCTCCAAATCTAGGTCGATCGTGCCAAGTATAAACTCATCATTTTGCATTTTGTTTAACAATCGGACGAGCTGTGAATATTCTTGATACGTAAAGAAAACAAAATTCACCGCAGCTTTTCGGGAGTGCTTTTCACCGACGTGTTATCATTGCCGTATTAGGTATATATCGTGTATAAAAAAGTATTCTCCTCTTGCCTGAAGCGGGTTTTCGAATTCGTCATCGTTGTGTTTCAATTTCCCTCCGAAATGTTTTTAAGAACAAATAAAAACGTACGTCGGCAGAAATCCACCGTGTCGTAGAGAAGACATGTGTTGTTATATGCGAGAGACGGATTTGTTCGTTGCCGTGCTCGTGCGAACGCATTCACAAAATTACGAGCCCACGCAATCTGTCCGTTGGCGGGCTCAGCAAGCTAAACCAACTCGAAATGACGTTAACGTGAAATCTGAGAAGTCGAGTTCGCGAGTCATGTGCACCACACGTATACGATTACAGCTACCGTGTACCCGACGATATACGATCAATAACGTATAACAATATGATTCTATGAGTGTGCGTAAGGGTATTGGAAAATTTTGTCGTGATCGACTCGCGTGAAGTTCGTGAGGGTGTTTTTTTATTTTTTTTTTTATCTCGACGAAAAACGTAGGAGATTTCGACGGGACGATGACACCACGACACGTAAAAGTCGGTCGTTCGTTTCGCGGTGACGGAATATAAGAGAAAAAAAACACGACTCATCAATTCGTAAAACATATTGACACGACCACTCTCCGCAGCACCTGATTCCGGAACGTCACCTGTGCTCAGATATACCATCCCACCGTCGTCGTGTTCTGCACAGACCGTGTCAAACTAGGCAATCTTTCATGGAACGTTTTCATTTTCAGTCAAAATTAGTTAAAACTACGTAGTCACCGTACTATTTGAAGATATCACCATGTCTTTGAGGGTGACTATTGATGATGGCCAATAAGTGATGCTCGACCAGTGAATTAAACGACATCAATAAACGCAGGCACCTGGATTTAAAAAAATTTAAAAATTTAGGATAAATACTATTATTATCATCAGCAGATTTCCTAGTAACCTGCATTACTTTGTATTCGTCGAAAAAACCGAAAATAATTTTGTATTGTAGTACAATTTTGAAAACGTATTTAACTTAAATAATTTATGCATTCTTTAGAAATCAGCGTATATACTATGCATGATGCACTCTCCTGACGAAATTCCTGGCGACTCCTATGTCAATCAATTAATTATTATAAATACAAATCGTTTTTATCCAAAGCCTATTTAAGTATAACAGACATTTTAACTGTGTTTGGATGCACTATCTTATGAATAATTTTCTTACTATACTCGTATTAAACCGTCTTGAGTAAAAAAAGTACAAAATAGCGTTGCGAAATGGTTATTTTGCGTTACACACAGCGTAATCGAATATTAATAAAAAAAAATAACAATTTAATTACTATCCCGCGTTACAGACGTTATATCTTCAATTTATAACAAACGCATTATCAGTCATGATTTATAATCAGAAATTGATTTTTGTACACATTCGATTTCGTAGCACATGATAAGATTTTCAGAGGAAATCGTAATTTTTTTCAAGAGTGTTTGCCATATATAGCTAAACCAGTCAATTTAGGGCCAGTAAGAAAAGTTTTTTTTACTTCCTCGTAATGAATTTTAATAAAAGACATAAGACATTATAAAATTATGATTATTATAATGTAATCTGTAATGATTAAATAATACTAATTCCGTTTCAATTTTATAATTTAAAAGTTATTTATTATTATGTTTATGTGGTTATGTTGTATAACGAGCAAATGTGTAAGCTTTGTTAACTTTTATATAATAGTTGTATTTGTTGTGAATTGACTGCTATTTGTTTATTTCAAAACAATTACCGCGAACGAAAAAGAAAAAAAACATTTTTATTAATTTTACGTTGTACGAAACCCCATAAAATCGTTACGTTATAATAGAAATGTTTAAGACTTCAACTTTTACGGTAAAGTTTTTTTTTTAAATCACTTTTAATTATATTCGAATATTTAACTTAAGACATTTATTAACAGTTTTGAGCCCAGTTAAAAATATTTTTTCTAGATAAAGATAAAGATAGTATATCAAAAATCTATTTCGATAAAGATAAAAATAAACCTAACTAAAATTATCTTTATAAAATATATAAGATAATCTTAATAAAAGCTGATATATTCTTAAAAAAATAATGGTTTTATATTAAACTGTCAAAAAAAGAATAAAAAAAAATTATCAGACCTACCATAAGTAAAACATTTAGTATACGTTTGAGGCGTTTGAAATGTGGCTCGATTTTAAAGTATTTCATTTGGTTGGTGGACATAAATCTCGTTTCCATAAGTTTTTAACAAATAATATTGGATGTTAGTGTTGCACTGTCAAAACGTGTAAGTGTTTTGTAAAATTAAATGTCTTAACTCTGTAAGTGAAATTTTTAATGAACATAATTATGAACTAATATCAGTAAAAAAATTCATTAGAAAAAAACTTACTAATAATTTGAAATTAAAGCAGTTGATAATATATTTACTAGAACATCAACCATTTTACATAGTGAACTGAAAAATTATTATATTAAAAATATAGCGTTTTGAGATATTTTATTAATAAAAATAATTATATAATAATGCTCAATATTCAGTGTTACTCAAATCGCCAACTATATTATCAGAAATTTATGACACTTTCATGAATTTAAAATTTAAGACAGTTAAAAATGAAAATTTTTTGTTAGTGAATAATAACGAAACAAATATATTAGATTTTTCCTAATTTACATACTTTTTGCAGTTTGAACACAATATTTGTACGGAATAAAGACGGAAATAGACGGTATCTATTTTTAAAAGTTGCACATAATTATTTTATCAACTATTTAAAATTCATAGTGTGCTAAATAAAAACTATATCCCACTTGTTTATTTTTAACTGCCATCAGTTAATTAAGTGTCATACTGATATATTTCAGCATTTAGTAGAAACATTTAGAAAAAGTGACATGCAATTCAACCCTATTCGACTGTAAGTTGAGTTTGTATAGGCTATACAAGCTGCTGCAATTACTGTCTGGTTTTCTATTCAAGTAAAGGGATGTAGATTCCACTTGGAACTAAGTCGGCACAGAAAAATCTTACAACTGTTAGTACTTATAAAAAAAAAAAAAATATTTAAATATATAATATTTTAAAACACTTTTTTGATTTTCCTTTCTTTAATCCACAATATTTTGAAAATTATAGCAATACAACCACAAGATGCTCAAGTATTAGAATTCACGGACTATGTATTAAGATCATATACAAAAAATGACGCCGACTTTTCACCAGAAATATAAGCAGAATATTTATCAGCGACAATACGTACGATAGACAGTTGCAAATCATTAAATCATTCCATGGAAATTAAATAATTCATTTAATTTTTCGCACCCTTATATTTTTAATTTTATAGATATTTAAAAAAATAACCAAAATAATACTTATAGCGTTACGAAGTCAGGACTCAATGAACAGAATAATAATTAAAAAAAAAAAAAAAAAATAGAAAAATTGAAAACTAAAAATTAAAAAATTAAAAATCAAGTTTAAGATTATTATTAAGATAATTTTCATTCAAAGTGTTCTTGATTTAATATAGAATTCTAAATTATAATAAATAAAAAAGAATAGTAAATAAAAAAGCGCTATTATAAAAACCAAATATTTTTAATAGTCCTAAGTCTGATAAAATGGGAAGGAAAATATTCAGGATGCAATTTACATATGTATAAAAATTCACGGGATGCAATTTACATATACCTAGAAAATGTTTGGGACGAAATGTACAGTCACCTTTTCAATTATATTAATTTTAACTACACATTTTAATTATTTAATATCGCAGCTACCCAGGCGACACGAAGCAAAATCCCCAAGTCCCCGAAGCCTTAAAAATATTAATTAAATATTATACTTAAAAAAAAAGATCTAGATAAGATAATAGATGATTTATATTTTTTCTAGATAATAATCTTGATAAATTAATTTAGATAACAGCGCATATTATAGACACAATATTTTTTAAATGATATGTATTTTAATACTACGATAACAATACGAGTTTCATACTTACATTATAAAACGTAATTAACATGACCAAAGTAACAGTGCACACAGCCAAACCAATCGAAGCGAACGTTGTGAATAGCGACTGTTTGAGTCGAATACGATATTTGTGATAAAGCTCTTCTAAATCCATTTTGCTATAAAAAATAAATAAATAAATAAAAATTATAATTTAGTATTTGTAAATTTATAAAAAATAACCGATTCCATATTTAAATAGTTTCAAACCGTAATGAGTACAATATTTAAGTGGGCAATACTGTGAAAACTATGTCCCGTGATTCGAAGCAAGAGAGAAACGTTTGATTTTTTCATCTCGTATAATTACAATGAATACATAACGCAAAACGGTGAATAATTTACATGCTTATTAATAACATTCAATTCAAGAAGTAGTGTAAAAACACTCGACGGTTTACTACTTAGCTGTAGAAAATGTACATAGTTTCAGCAGAAACAAGTCGGTTCCGTTCGAGTTTTCACGTTGTATTATTAATTGAACGTGGACTTATGTTATTTGCGTTAAAGTTGATGTATTACGAATTTATCATCGGAGGTTGATATTAGTAAAAATATCCCCAAGAAAAGTGACTGTTCAGACAGAAAGGGTTTGGTTGTGACGTTTAAATTATCCGCGATTTAAATTCTTTAACGAAATGCTTTACTTAGATCACGTCGTGTCACACGAGTTTGTTGACAACAGGAAACTTTGTTTAAATCATATTAATATTATCAAAATAATATTAGTTACTACAATAGTGTTATAATAACCCCGTTTCCTGATACATTTATTTGATTTGAGTATCAGAATTCATTGAGGATTTCAAAGCGGTTGGCTAAAGCCGCGCATATACTAGACCAGAACCGGCCGAACCAAAAAAAATCAAAATGCCGATTTTATATGTGAGTGCATACACTTGTACCGAACCGATAACCCGAACCAAAATTCGGGTCGGTTCGGATTTCAACCGTTCAAACATGTTTGAATTTTTCGGTCGAAAATTAGTGGTACTATTCTATGTATAGGTCCTACCTCTTGATTTGAGACGTTGATAATAAATTAAATATTGTGGTCATATCACATTTGGTGTTTTAATAACATCGTTGTGTACCTATTACCTAGTACTTACTATGTCCTAGTATTAAGTACTTTAGATATATCTTAAATCGTGATATTTTAGTATATATGTTTAGAAAACGTGCGTTTATCTACAATTTTATCGACCGTTTCACATAGGTTTTTCGATAATGTAGTCGTACTAACTCGTAAGTATTTTAGTAGTTGTAAATACATCGCACGTGAGAGTTGCACACCATGCACCGCATTCGTCAACTGTCGAAAACTGATTGTAGAAAATACAATACGTGGTTTACTCTAGTTATTATCATAAGTCACGACATAATATGATTATTTAATTATCTATTTAGCTATTAACTTTGTTTTCGGAACGAAAATTCGGGGACACTCAATGCAGCTATACCCGAAAAAATTCGGACCGAATATTTTTCGGTTCGGTCGGTCCGGCCGGTTCGGGTCTAGTGTATGCGCGGCTTAAGGCTAATACGAGATACCGAAAAATAGAAACTAAATGTACTATGAAATGGATAAATCTATTTTTAGTTTATAGAAAAGGTCTAGACAGTTATATTTCTCATGGGGTCATTAAATCTAAGACTTTTATGATTCAATTTTTTGAGGCTATATATAATCGGTATATCCCGATTTAAATGCGGTGGTTTTAATCCATTATCAAAATACCATTGATTAATCAAAAAGTCTATACAATATACGTTAATAGTTAAACAAAAAAATAATACACTCAATAAAACTGCAATAAAACTATGTTGTTCATACATTTTTTTTTCTTACCATGTGACATAATCAAATACAAAACACAATATATGTGACGCTTGCCGAGTATAAATGGTTCTTCTATTCTGGGTTCAATGAATATATATAATGAACAAACTATTAAATAATAAAACCATGCTAAAAAAATTACTGCAGTATCTCATAATATAAAGGACGGTATTTTATAGAGGTTTTTCAATTTTCTCGTCATAGTCTACCTAAGTTAAAAAATTCTAATTCATTTTTCTACAGATAATCTCAATAATACTTGTCTTTTTTTATGAAATAAGAACCTATCACACGGATTAAAATGTTCTAACTATTTCATGCTATTCGAGCTTTTCAAGAAATACCTAACTTTGCAATAATTCTTCATCGTTTTTTTTTATATATTTATACAAAACAAAATTGACTAACAAAAACAACTATTCTAGATGATCAAAATACAAGTTTATAAAATACATTCATCCCACTCGTTTTTCGCTATCGCAATATCTTGTTTCTCGAGAAACAAAGTGATAAAGATTAAATAACAAATTTATAGCTCTTCCTACACATTACAGGAAACAACTTTCTTCTTTTTCTTTTTTTTTGATTTTTCATATTTTACTAAAATCAAATACCGTACGTTTGCTATGATCGAAAAGTAATAAAATATTAAATTTGAATACAACTAAATGCCTACCAAAATTTAATATCTACATCTACTTTAATAACAATCAGCATAAAAATAAATCGATGAGCTTATAGAAGTAAAAAATTTAATATATTAAAGAATATATTTCTAATAAGATTAGGTTATGTATTCATTCGGCTTAAAATTTTTGTCTTACTAATTATTGTAATTTTATTTTTCTGGGATATTCTTGGTTTATTTTTATACAAAATTACAATAAAAGTTTTTAGTATTAATAAAAAAAATAAACACTAAGCTCATTGAATGGGTCACAGCTATTTTGCTAATTACATTTTTCACATAATTATTCACAAAGAAAAGGAAGGCAAAATAGTATACAAATAGTTTTAACCATTAAGAAAACAATTACGAGTTGTTTCTGTAGACTTTTTTTATCTAGTTATAAAATTAATATAAAATTATTATATAATTAATACACTTTAATTGCGAACCAAATATTTCTATATTGTTTCTAAAAATGTTATGCATCTTATCTAATACTTCAGTATTACAGTAAAGTAGTGGATTCAATGTCAAGGAAAAAAATGGGCAATTGTCACATCAGAAAAATAGCATATTCTTCACATTCTGAAATATAGCAAAATTTTATATATGAAATTTTTATAAATTTATTTAATTTAAATTGTTATTTTGAAATTTAATTTTTCTTTCGATATATTATCAATGCAAATTTTTCTTGTGGATATAAAAAATAACGCTATTGAATTTTTACATAGTGAAATTAGTATGTTTAACTACTTTCAAACCAAAAGTTAAAATATCACAATTCAATTATAATATACAGTGACAGTTTCTCACAGATATAATATAATCGTACAAATCCTAGTCAGTTTTATCAACGTGAAAATGAATAAATCGTATAGGCCAAAGTAATTACATGTGTATAATAATGTCTGAAAGATTTTACTCGTTCAGAATACAATGAACATACATAAAATAAAATATTATTTTATTATTATTTATTAAAATATTATAATAATAATACTTTTTGGAGCAATAGATTTGACCCAATAAAGATGTTTTCAACTGATTCGATTTTTCGGCTACGTAAATACAATGTTATCAATATATTAACAATATTATACATAAAAATTACGTGTTCGACGTTTTATCCTCAATGGAACTGCTTAACCGATTCTGATGAAATTTGGTACAAAGATAGGTTAAACCTTGAAGAAGGACATAGGCTACTTTTTTTCGTGAAAAAAAGGGAAGGAAAGTATCAGAACACCTAATAAGACACGAACGGACATTTGTTGTTTTGTTGTTGCTATAACAACCGAAAAAAACGGAAATAATTCCCATCATAACACACTTCATTGCGTACCTAAAAAATTCTGAATATGTACATTTTATTGAAAATAATTTCCATTAGTGACTTAATTTAGAAATCAATTATATTATATATATATGTTACTGGCAATATGGATAATCCGGTATTTTGCAAAATGCCTAGGAATTATATAAAATGCCAAAAATCACTCGGCAATACACGTAATACAAGCTTCACCTAGGTATTATGTATAATTCCAAACTTGGAGTAGACAATATGATGAAAATAAACAAAATGGGACATCGCTTATTACCAGTGTTGCGCAAAGATAACTAAAAATTTATCTAGATAAAGATAAAAGATAATTGGACAACATTTATCTAGATAAAGATAAAAGATAATTAAAATCTAAATTATCTAGATAAAGATAAAAGATAATTAAAATCTAAATTATCTAGATAAAGATAAAAGATAAAACAAGATTTATCTGTATAAAAAAAAAGATAAATTATTTTTAAACTTTATTACATAATAAATCTACACTTTTTTTTATAAATTAATATTTAAAAAATTTAATTAAATAAAAATGAACTTATTTTTGATCTAATAGATACCTCCAATATAAACAATGAACAACAAATATTTATATTATGTACATTTATGAATGGGAAATAAGTAATACATAATAAGTACTTAGTTAAAAAAAATATATTCTTTGTAGGTAAGAATATTATAATTTTATAAAACAATTCATTATAATTTATATACTAATTATTATGGAGTAATTACATACAAGTATTATCCATTATCAATAGAAAAAAAATGTAATGCTCAAATAATACTATACATTATACTAAATATATTAATAAGTCATAAACATTCAATGTATTAACAACAAAATTAAAAATAGGGTAATAGAGATACTGCATTTGAAAAATTTAACTGTTTAGTTATGTAGGAATTGTCATACTAAAGTAAAATGCTCCTAAAAAGTTAATAAAAAGGTCAAAATAATCAATCAAGTACAAAAAAAAATAATAATAATAATACACATTGTGCTGATTTCACGTATAATGTGAAAAAAAGTAATGAAATCTGATTATTTTAAGGTAAAATTAAGAAATCTAAAAACTCATTTTCCCAATATTTTAGTTTTTGGAGATACTGTCTTTCTCTTTAGGAAGGCAGTAGGTATATATATATATATATATATATATTAGTAAACCTTGGTTAAAAAAATCAAAACATTCAAGTCATTCGGGGAAAATAATTATTAACAGAGCCCGAGACAGAGCCTAACACAGGTGTTTTAACT